CCCGAGCGTCCCTGCGCCCCGAGATTGGCCGCGGGAGCTCCGCCCAGCCTCCTAGAGCTGACTCCGGGGCCACCGCGCGCGCCAATCGGCGGAGATCGGGGCGCGAGATGTCCGGCTGGGGGTTCCGCCCCGAGGACTCCCTGCCCCGCGAAGGGCGGGAAGCCGGGCACCCGAGGGCGGGGTATGGGTGCCGCGGCGTGGAACCCGTCAACCCGCGCGCGAGGGTCTGCCGCGTGGTCGCGGGCAAGCTGCTTCCCCTGCCTCAGTTTCCCCTTCTGGCAGCGGGGGCTCCAGCGGCGCGAGCAAGTGCAGAGCATCCAGGGTCCCGGTGCCGGTCCGCACGGACAAGATCCCTGCTTTGGGGGCGGGAGGCAGTACCAGTAGGCAATCGAGTAGGTGTACAGGCGGCAGGTGGTGGGAGGTGTGGGCGGGACTAAAGGCGGGTCACAGGTGTGTGCGGGCCACGGGTGTGTGCAGAGCTGTGTTCTCTGGGGCTGGCAGGCGGGGCTCTGCGAGGAGGCCTTCACAGGTCGGATCCCAGGACGTGGCCGCACCTGCACTTTGGAGTAGGGTGTTCCTCGCCCTGTGCAGAGATGCGGGGGAGGAAGCCGCGTGGCTGGGCGCAGGGAGAAGCTGAGCTGCCAAGCAGAGGCCCCTGGGTTGTGGCCAAACGCGTGGGAAGCTCTGATGGGTAAGAGCCCCTCAGAGTCGTCCCCCTGGGCAGGAATGGCCCAACCCTGTACTCCTGCCCCCATCAGCCATGGGACACCCATCAGCCACGGGACACGGGTCATCCTTGCAAGGGCATGGCCTTGAGCTAGGCCGCTGTCCAACCAGGCGGCCCTGGAGAGGGGTGGGCAGCTGCAGGTGCCTGCAGGACCCCGGTCCTACATCTGGGGTGTCAGGGGTCTGCGTGGCCCTTCTCTGTGTTCCCCGCAGAGACCTTTGTTTTTTTCTGCAGTTTTTTTATTTTGAAAAAAATGTCAAACCAACCAACCGGTTGAATATACACGAAAGGGACGCCCATCTACGGAGATTCAGCAGACGTCATGGTTCCTCTCCCCTCTGTGTATGTGTGTACCGCCCCCCCCACTTCCCCCTGAAAGATGAATTAGCTGCAGGTGATACCGCCCTCCTAAACACATCAGCACCCATCTCCTAAAAACGAGGGCCTTCTTCTGTATGACTGGAATAGAGTGGCACGCTCTGGAAATTACCATCAGTGCAACGCTAGCATCTGATATCTTGTCCGTATTCAGTGTCCGCAATGTCCCAGTGAGGTGCTTGCTAGCTTTTCTAAACCCAGGATCCTACCAGGAAACCACGGGTGCATTTCGTGGTCATGGCTCCTGAGCCTGCCTTCATCTAGAGCGGGGACCCCGTCTTCTTAACTCGCTGTGTTGCATCTTCTCGGTCCTCCGAGACAGGACAGTGTAAAGAGCCACGGCCAGTGTTTGTTGCTGTCTCTCGCTTGGGGTTTGGCCGTTTTCCTCGCCCTGGCATTGAGGCTGTGCACTTCGGGGCAGGGTAACTGCTACACAGACGGTGTCGTGTCTCCATGCATCACGGCGGGAGGCAGCGCGATGCCCCTCTGTCCCACCGCCGAGGGTCAGTTGGGTTGCGTGGTCCAGGTGGTTGGTGCCAGGTGTCTCCGTGATTAATAAGTAACCTGTGGAGTGACACTTTGAGACCAGGTCAACCTTTCACCCAGCCACCTGGCAATTAATGACGGCTCTTGCCAGCTACTGAATCACAGTCTCTTTTTCCCTCACCAGGGACACTTGGGAGCAAATCATTTACACTCTCCAGACCAAGCCCGTCAAACTCACAGGCTACCACGGGCCAAATACACAAGGTTTAAGTGGATGTGGCTGCAAAAAAACAAAAGCTTCCACTTTCATAGAAACGTCGGTTTATTTCGATAGAGACATGCTGAATACAAATAAATGAGTCATCATTAACATAAAATAATAGAACATTGTAATAAAAATCAATATCTTTTCTTGAACATTCACTTACCAGACATTGAATAACTGCACAAAGGAATAAGCGTCACACAAATAAACCTATTTTTCTGTTTCTCCGAAAGCGAAATATTTCCTGTTGCGCACACCCGACAAGTCAGTACTAGATTAATGACGTGGCCATCGGCCGCTAAGATTTTTGCTGCTGGTGTTAGTGGAGAGAAATGGTGCGCCTGCGCGTAAGGTGCGTAAGGAAAATGAATGCAACACGATCATAATCATCAGTCGCTAGCGAACGTTGTAGTTCATTATTAATAATGACGTATAAGAGGATATTGTAAAAACTAAGTTACAAAGTTTTTATTAAAACGTTTCTTACATACGGTTCTATTGGCTGGGCCGCAAAAACATTCCTTGTGTGCCGCATGCGGCCCGCGGGCCATGAGTTTGACATGCTTGCTGCAGACAGTCCTGGCCCCTCTTCAGTGGCATTCCTTAAAGATGAAACCGACCAGAGACTGGCCCGCCCCCGACCCTCACTTCGGTGGGTCCACCTGCCGGAGGGCACACGGGACCCCAGTGAAGACTCGGCCGAGCCCTCCCGAGGCCTCCCCGGGGCTCCCACCCGGAGAGAAACCCCAGGACAGAGGAGCCGCCCCCCCCCCCGAAGGACGCCTCCCCTCGGCTGGACTCTTGACTGTCTTTCCCCGGAATCCATGGGTCCCCAAAGATGGCAGCCCGGGAGCCATGGACAGGGACAGCCGCCCCCCGCCCCCCCTTAACAAACAGACGCTAAAGCCCCGGGTAAACTGTTGTGAAATCTTCCCGCTGCGCGGCCCGCCCCCCTGATAACGGCGCTGCGGGGACAGCATCCAGCGCAGGGGCACAGGGAGGCGCCGTTTGGGGGGGCGCGGGGGTAAAACAGAGGGGCGCGC